TTACAGCGCTTGGCACCCCACACCCGGAGGCTGTTTTCTAAATTCTCCCGGAATGTTAAGTTTTTCAGAACCCGAGGAAACTCATGCTTATCCCGATGAAAATCATCTCACTACAGTGTTTGGAACCAGTGAGTCTTCCCTTGGCGTCACATTTAAAAAGATACGCAGAGGAGGTTTCCTGATCATCAGGAATGAACGAGGTCACCGGTGAAATCGTTGGAAGTTCCCGGAGGACGTCTTTCTCCAAAGAGGCCTCCCGCAGGCCTGCTGATCACTGTGTACCTGAAGCTATTTTCCTGAGGGATTTCCAAGGGTCCATCGACACGGTTTCATCCTCTTCTGGTGAGATGGAGGCCACAGCTGACGTGTGCAGTGTGCAGGGCATCAGGCGTAAACTAGTGTTGTTGCCATCGGGCTGAGCCTGACTCCCAGTAATGCCCTGGGACCGAGTAAGCACACCCCACTGGGTTTCCATCGTTGCGAGAGCAGATCACCCAGTCTTTTCTCCCGCGGCGCTGCCAACCTCCCAGGTAACAGCCGAGCACGTCACCAGGACACCACCGGCAAAACCAAAAGAACACCCTGCATGCTCCAGCCCTTAGGCTGCGCACCACAGAATGCCTCCCGGCCTTCTTTCCCATGTGGGAACACACCACACCTGGGTGAAGCAAATTCCTCCCCGCATGATATGTGGTGGGCCGACTCCTGCAGCCTCAGCCCGGCCCTGGTTTTTGTGGAACGCTGTGACAGCACTGTGGGGGAATGTTCCTCAGGTCCTCAGCAGACTGTCCTTCAGGAGGGGAAAGGTTAGGGGCAGGCTGGGAAAGCAGACATCATGCAGACCAGCGGTTCTCAACCTGTGGGTCATGAGCCTTTTTTTTGGGAGGGGGGTACTGAATGACCCTTTCACTGAGATCGTCTAAGACCATCAGAAAACACATAAATATTCCACAATATATAATCACATATTGTTTTGTGATTAATCACTACGCTTTAACTATGTTCCATTTGTAACAATGAAAATAAACCCTGCATATCAGATATTGACACGATGATTCATAACAGTAGCAAGATTACAGTTATGAAGCAGCAATGAAAAGAATGTTATGGTTGGAGGGGGGGTGTGTCGAGTCACCACACCATGAGGAACTAACTGTATTAAAGGGTTGCAGTATTAGGAAGGTTGAGAACCACTGATGTAGATGGTGAGGAAAGATTCAAAATGCCCTTGCAGCCCCAAATTCTGATAACTCTACAGAACAGCATGAAACCTGCCGCCCCACCCAGTCTAGGGGCTACTGTGCATCCTCTCAGGCAGTGTGCAGCGTCCTCCCTACACAGCTGTAAGGAGGACCAGCCGGAGGAGGCCTGGACTGGGCTGCTTTGGGCACAAGAGTAAGTGGGAGTTCACCGGGGCTAGTCCCATCTCCTTGCCTTTTGCTCCCCTGCCCTTCTCCTGTGGGCACATTCACAGGATGACTTCTCTTGAAGGGACAGCAAAGTAACAGGCCTCTGCTCTCTCCAAGAAAGGAGAAAGGACCGGGCCCTCGCCCCAGGGTCCACTGACTGCTGCTCCCAGAATAGCACCCGCCCTGAGTGGGAACCTGCAATTTCCACTTCAGTAGCACTAAGTCTCACCAACTCTCTGGTCGGTGTTCAAAAGACACAAAATCCTTACTGTCGGAGACCAATACTCTCTTTTTATTTATGTAGCCAAAATTTGAAATGCTGCCTCTACCTAAGGTGTCCTATTGTCAATAGCAGACAGGCCCAGAGGAACCAGGTTCTTTTGTTTTGTCCCCTGCCCCAGGAAATAGGGGACCCCCAAATCTACTGAGTGAACAGCTAATTTTTCAGCTCATTGACACTGAGTCAATGCTGACTCATAGTGACCCCTTGTGGGTTTCCAAGACTATAACTGTTTATGGGCATGGAAAACTCCGTCTTTCTCCCGAAGAGCTGCTGGTGGTTCTGAACTTCCGACCATGTGAGTCGCAGCCCCAATGCATAACCACTACACCACCAGGGCTCCATAAGCTTATTCTTGGTTGTATGTAATTTCCCAAAGTGCAGAAGCAACCTTGGGCTGACAGCCATGAACGCAGTTATGCTAACAGGGTTTGCTGTAAACATTGACTGAAGGGTCTTGTATGCAGAACATAAGGGGGAACTATGAGGAAAAGTAAGCAAACCTTTCTCTGTGTCTAAACAAAAGTGAGGTGGAGCCAGGTCCCACCCAGGTTCTGTACACCAGGACCATTTGGACTTTGGACCACAGATGCAAACATAAAAGCAGCAGGTGGGTATATGCTAGTTTCGTGTGCACCGTGCTGCAAGACCAGGAGCGAAGCCCTAGGCCTGGGTGTGGTGCTCTCCTTGGCACCTCATCGTTCACGAGCTCAGACCCCAGGGGTGGTCTACATCAGGGAACCATGACGTTTTGGCCTAGCAGCCGAGGGAGGGAAGCAATACTCAGCTGGGAATTCAACTATCTTCACGAACAGATTTCAGTTCTTAAAGTTGCCACCGGACGCCCCAGGCCCCTTGGTTATAGAGAATCCATGGCCAAGTCAGATTTGCTGGCTGTTCTTGATCCAGAATGACAACCAGAGACTCACGGGCGGGCAGGGTTGCTTTTGGAGAGAAAGAGTAGCACCTGCTACTTTGTTGGGCTCCGGACAGGAAAAAGGGGCTCCTGAAAACAGCAGATCTTCAAGGCCAGGCCAGGGTGGAGTGGAGGTACAGATCCCATCTTCGGAACCCAGCTTGCCCATCGTCAAGTTGCTGTCTCTCGCTCGTGTCCTCGCCTCTCTGTTCTCCTCCGATGACCCTTCGGTCCCTCACACCACTCGGCTTCCTTTAAAGGGTTCGTGAGCATCTTCTTCCCCCTTTTGGATCCACCCTTCAAACTTCCTTGGGACTCTGCCCCTTTGCTCCACGCCCTCCTTGTGGTCTACCTGCCCTCATCCTTTTCGGGTACAAAAGCTCCCACCACAGGACTGACTGACCATGCGCCCGCTGGGAGAGAGAAGCACAGCAGATGTGTGTGTGTGAGGTGGGGCCGGACCACCTTCACATCAGGCCTACCTATTCAGTGGTTGAGGAAACATCAGGCTCCGTAACAGAGTACTAGAGGAGAGAGACGGGCAAGCAGTGTCGGCAGATCTGCTTGCTGGTCCACCAAGTTGAATGAGCACTCTGTCAGCCAAGCATGCCCGTGGCACAGGTCAGCTGAGGAGCCGACAATCACATGTGGATCATTTTTTTACTTTTATGGGAACATACATTTGCTCATAGGAAGGGAATAAAAAGCGTTTTCCTGTTTTAAAAAATAGGAGGCTGTGGATGGACTAAAATCCTAGGACACAAAAGTTTGTATCTTCTTTACGCTCGGATTATTAGACACAAGTGCTACTTGATGATGATTTTTACAGAAAATGGACCTCCCAACCCCTTTTCTTTTTTTTTTCTTTTTAAACATTTTATTAGGGGCTCATACAACTGTCTCCCAACCCCTTTTCAATGGAACTATTCTTTCTTTAAATTTTCAGACACCCAATCAAGTGATGGCCCATGGCTCTAAGGTGACACAGCACACCTCCATCCAACAGACTTTAGTTTAACAGGTAGTTCCTAATTCCCATTTCAGAGCTTTGAAGTACATTCAGTGTCTGGCCTTGGAGGCATGTTTCAAAACACAAAGCCTTGGGTTATTTTCTTGAACTTTAAACTTTACATAAAAAAATTCCCGAGTTTTCCATCATTCAAACTGGGATATGAGTGAATGCCCCCTTCCCCTGGCACAACCACCCAGGCAAAGGAACAAGGTTTCCGGGGACAGTGACTGGTTTATGAGTACCCTGGACGTGATGCGAGTGGGTACGATTCACTGACTGGTAACCCAGTGTCTACAGGCTCGGAGACCCAGAGCCATGGTACCTTGGCAGCTTTGGGTGGAGAATTTTCAGAAAGGCTGGACGCTCTGGCATCTGAACTTAGTTGCTTGGGATGGGCAGGCTGCTGGATCTCGCTCTTCACCTGGAAGGTACCTGGTTCCGTTACAAACAGAAGACATTTTGTTTATCTCCTGGGAAGTCTCCAAAAGCGTCCCCTCTCCAAGCAACGATGAGGCACTCCCTCCAATGACAAGTCTTTTCAGCATCAAAACCCGCTGTCTTCTGCTGAAGAGACACAAAAAGGGATGCCCTCGGGCTCGGCAGACTGAGTTCTCAGCTAGGAGGCTCTCTTACCCTGTGCCACACACAGGCTGAACCCAAGTCATCCGGAGGAAGACCCTTCTACCCTGTAGCATTCGTCTTTTTTGTGTGTTTTTTTTAAAGCATTCGTCATCTTTAAAAGGCAGGCTGGTAGCTAGTACTCTCAGTCACTCCTTCTGGGGCACTTCAGCTCATGTCGGAAAAGCGAGGGGACAGGACGGCAGACAGGCCACACTGTGTGTCTAATTTGACACTTCCTTCTTTTATCATCTGGGGGCCATTTTCATAAGCAGACAGGCCACACTGTGTGTCTAATTTGACACTTCCTTCTTTTATCATCTGGGGGCCATTTTCATAAGCAGACAGGCCACACTGTGTGTCTAATTTGACACTTCCTTCTTTTATCATCTGGGGGCCATTTTCATAGATAAACGCTATAGGAAAAGGCCCCAGCGTTTTTGTGTGTGTGGACCTGTTTTTCTTCTTCCCATAATCATTGTCTGTGTAATGTCTTGATGCTGTATTTATCCTACAGAACTCAGAGGATGAGGAACCACAAAGATTCCCTTAACATCTAGAACTGAGTTAATAAAGTACTAAAAGATACAGGCTTGTTTTCAAGAAAAAAATTTTTTTTTGCAAACCTGATGAAAACTCAAAATATTGTTAGCCCAAAAGAAGTTACTAGAAGGAATATTCTTGGACTCAGCAAGGAAAGTTTTTCTCTGCAATTTTAATGTGTTTACCCAAACCAACAACTTACTGCCATCAAGTTGATTCTGACTCACAGCATCCCTGTAGGACAGAGCAGGGCTGTCCCCGTGTGTTTCCGAGACTGCCACTCCTTACAGGAGTAGACAGCCTCATATTTCTCCTGCAGAGCGGTTGGTTGTTTCAAACTGCTGATCTTGAGGTCAGCTGCCCAACATGAAGCTCCGTGTGTAGTTTACTAGAGACTAACCCATACTTCTCTTTTAGCTGTGGAGTTTTCAGTATGTAGTATACTAATTTGCCTGTGGACGAACTAGAAAGCTATAATGCATTTCTAATGAATACACTGAAAATCAGAATCAAAAGGAGACATGGTATAGTAAAAACAAGAAGATGTTGTCTCTGGGGGAAGGAAGGCTCAGAATAATTCTAAAATAGGATACAAGGTAACAAAATTCACTACAGTAGTCTTTCAGCAGGAATGTCCCTAGAAAATGGCTAGAAATCAAAACTACATATTTAGATGACTAAGAATAAGGCATTTTTAGGAGGTCACTCAAACTCCAGTTCTTTATCCCTGTCAATGAATAAAAAATTCTCCTGGGCCAAACTTCTACTAAAATTAAACTTCCAAAATGGTTTGGTACAAAAGATTGGCCTAAATTCAAAAGTATTCATTGTCAACCATATTTAATTGAATGTAATTTCTCCCTATGAAATAAAATGAGTAAAGGGTATTTAAGCATTTGTCCTTAAACCAAGAGAAGGATTTGATGGGCTAAATTACTGGATTTAACATGCTACTTCCTTAGCGTTGGCAGTAATGGGGGACCCTCCTGCCTGAACCAAATCCAGGACCTTCACTTCCAAGCTCTCAGAACAAATGCTTACCGGGCTCGTCTTCGGCAGGGGAGGAACAGAATGCCAGGCTATTCTCGGTTGCAGAAACCTACCAAAAAAGGGGGGGTGGGGGGGCAGGATTAGAAATCACATTAAAAATAAAAGCGCGAACTGCTGCTAATGCCATAAAAACCTGCTGACTCCAGTCCGTCACTGGCTGCCTGGGGGAAATAACGCCCCGGAACAGCTGAGCATTTAAACAAGCGGCAACAAAATGTCTTTAATGAGGATATTAACATGCCTCTCAATTACAGAGCAACAGAGAAACAGACTGCGCTCAACTGCCAAAAGTGTGCATCATCTCCCTTTATAAAAGAACTTCTAAACCATCTCTCTCCTCCCTCCCCAAACAAAGCAAAGCAAAAAGCCTTTGTCCGGGATGGAGAACAAAGCTCACTGTAACTCACTTCAAGGCAAAACAGTCTTAAACACAGCAACTATTCTTTAAATAGTCCCCCCCACCCCAATTCCTTATTTCCTAAGCAAACGCTTCCTGGTGAGACAGCTAGCCAGCACAGATCTTTGGATGGCTAGGCAGCAGACACACCTGAAGCTAACCTCAGACATTATCTTCAAGGACAGCTTCCTTCGAATCCCGGTCTCCAAACAAGTATTTAGAGCAAGATGGCAGATCTTAGTGTACGTTAGTTATGTGGATATAGTTTTCCCCCAGAAGCCGTAACATTTCAATAAAATAACTTTCTACTCGCTCTCTCCCTCCTTTCTTCCAGCCCCTATGTCTTTCTTCTCGTTATGGATTGAATTGTGTCCCCATAAATACATATTGTAGTCGAACCTGAAACCTCTAAGCCATGGGTTCGTTCCTGTACTTATTTTAGGACTGATTTCCCCCCTTTTGAGGAAAAAAAATTAAGAAATTAGGCAGTGCTCCCAGGCAATGAAGCACTTTTGTACTATAGCCCATAATCCAGGATCACGTGCAGGTATCTGTCTTTGCAGCCCCCTGGATTGTTCCCCAGGAGCGTTCCAGAATACTTGCGCATTCTCTCTCCCTCTCTCCCCACTTTGGGAAACACTGCTCTCAGCCCCCATGAGTACAAGTCCATTTGGGACTAGGTTGTCTTTGTTAACGAGGCAGAATCCATATAAGAGGGCATTTAAGTCCATCTCTTTTGAGATATTAACTAGATCAAAAAGCAAGAGAGACAGCAGAGATGTGGGAGAGCGAGCTGCCCAGCCACAGGATGATCGCTCCGAAGCAGAAATTTCCCGAGTCAGCCCCTAGACTTGAGCCTGTGAGCGAGTGCATTCACTCCTGTGAGTGAAAGCCACGCACCAGCGGTCTTTCTGTCATAGCAGGGCTGGATCACTGACCTCACATTCCACACCCCAAATCGTGAAGGGGCAATAGGTAGGACTCCATGTGGAACGTTCATGGAAAGTTCTTTAATTCTGGTTTCAGAGGTTTGGGATGTACATAAAGGATAACAGAGATTTAAGTTGCTGGTGGACCACAACCGAATTTTAGCTCCATCGGTTTTCGACTCCCCTTTTCATTAGCGGAATTCTGAGGCAAAGCAGACCCAGCATAACAAATGCAGCATGGAGTCTTCACTCTGTGCCAGGTATTGGACGCATCAACTTCTCTGCATCATCTCACTTAATGTTAGGAAATAAACTTTTGACAGTTTTGCATGGCCAAAAAAAACACCTCAGTTCTTGCTCATTAGTAGGCGAGTCCACGCCAGGATGCTCTTCTCCCACCTCTGATTGGGTTCTTGCCAATGATGACCTCACTCACTGCACATGCCACTCGATGACCTCACGGCAACCACAGCCAGGTGAGGGCCTGTGAGACAGAGCTCCAACATTTCATTATAGGAAAGCAAAACATCATTCACCAGAGGAGGGGAGAAAGGATACCTTGACAGAATATTCCATTTCAAGCACGTTTTAAGGCCACCAGGAGTTTATAAACTTGCAGAATGTGCTTGAAAAAGATGTACGTACTATCTCTACCCCCTTCCTTCCCCACCCACGCCCTCCCCAATTTGTGATTCAGTTGCATGTATGAATGCCCCTTTGGGCTATCATTAAAATGTTCAGATCCTCCAATTCAGTTGAAGTTCCAGCTTTAACTCAGCATGAAGACAATCATAAAGGAAACATGAAACCAGATATAGAAAATAATTCAGGGGGGAGTGAGGGGGAGGGGGAACCCATCACAAGGTTGGATATATAACGCTCCTTCCCCCCTCCCCCGGGGACGAATACCAGAAATGTGGGTGAAGGGAGACAACTGACAGTGTAAGACACGAAATAACAATAATAATATATAATTGATCAAGGATTCATGAGCGTGGGAGGGGAAAAGAGAGGAGCTGATACCAAGGGCTCAAGTAGAAATAAATTGCTTTGGAAATGTTGAAGGCAACATAGGTACAAGTACGCTTAATATTATTGAATGGCGGATTGTCATAAGCTTTGTAAGAGCCCACCCAATAAAATGATTAATTTAAAAAATAACAGAATCCAAGCATTAGTTTCCAACTGATTATTCCCCAAACTGTGCCTGGGGTGGCTGGGGAATTTCAATACTGAATGGTTCTCTCTTAAATCTTCTGTTCTACAGTATGTAAGAAAAAAAAAAAGATTATGGATTAAACTGTGTGTGCCCAAAATACGTGCTGGAATCTAAACAGGTGGATCTACACCTGTTTGGAACAGGACTTTCCTGTGTTATGACATTCACGCCACACCCAAGGTTAGGTGGGTTCTAAATTTAGTAACTTCGCAACTGTGAAAAGAGCAGACTAGAGATGCGCACACACGGGAAGGCAGATGCTCATGAGGGGACTGTTGAAGGCCAAGAAACACCCGCGGCGTGTGACCAGGAAGGAGTCAACCCGGCTGAGACTGTGGTTTGGTCGTTCAGCCTCTAAGAAATGTGAGAATCTAAACGTCTGCTCCATTTCTGTAAGAGCAGCACCAGGAAACGGAGACAAACACCAAACACACATTTACGGAATTACTCTTAATGGACTCCCATTTGAAAACCGGCACGCCAAGGCCAAGCACACCAGCGGTCTAATGAGAACCTTGGATGGGTGTTAGGTGATCTGCAGACTCAGTCCCAGCTTGGCGCTGCAAGAATGCCTATAATTTATCTGACGCCATGGGATCACGTAATACATGACTGCTGAGTATTCCTGTCACCTTGACATCCGTGTGTGAGGTTTTTTAAAAAACAGTGATTTTAAGTTTTTTAAAACACTTTTCATTCTAGGTCTCAAATTGTAGACCTGTGACTGTAAGGCGTTTTGTGTGTACCTATTCTGATCCAAGTGTGCAGTGTATTACCTAAGTTGCTCACAGCGCTGCCAATACATCATACTTTCTAAAGCATGGGGTAGTCAAGTCGTTTCAGAACCATGGCTCCTGACCCATTTTATAGGATTGCGAGGAGTTGGCAGCGACCCCGTAGCCACAAACCAGCCCCTCATCTTTGAAGAACAGACTCAGGCACAAGTCAGTCCTCCTAAGGTGAATCACTGTAACAGATTTGAAAGCCCTTTCTCATCTTGCTCAACATGTTGCAACCATCATTGTGACAGAAAGACCAAAAAGACTGGACCAGATTGGAAGAGAAAATGTAACTTCTGACATAAATATGTTCTCAAAGTAAAGCATTCACCTAATGATTGCTGCCTAAAAGGTCAGTCTGATCTGCTTAAAATCCTGCAGTGGCTTTCCACTCCTAGGAGACTACATCCAAACTCCTTTTAAAAACATCATCTTATTGGGGGGGGGGGG